CTGGCGAAGTTTAACTATTTTCATTATAAGTTGTTATATCCAGTTATATTATCCATTACTTTCTTATCAAAATAATTTTTACATTGTTTTTTAAACTTAAAATTCTAAGTCTAAGATTATTAGTTATCCGATTGCACTCAAAATGTATTCGATAACTTCTTATTTAGATTCACAAGCTAAATTATGGCTCAAACTAGATATTTTGCCAATTCTCCATGATTTTTAGCCATATTTAACTGTTTACCCTATATTTAGGAACTTGCCAAGCCTGATGGGGACTCCGAAGACGGCTTTACCTCGTGTATACCAGACAAACAGTCTAGGTCTAGCCTCCTGCAGTCCCATTCAACACTTGCTTCTTCCTGGCCTTGGTGGATTGCAATCTCCCCTTACTTCCGCTTCTGTGATCAGTGTTGCTGGCTCTAATTTAGGTGCCGGAGGTTCTGGAGGCATTGGTCTCGGACATCTAGATACAACTGGACTACTAACACGAAGGCTTACCGGCCAATCGCCTTCCTCTTCCGCTACCGCCACTGGCAATTCTGGTACAGGAGAATCCGAAGAGCCTTGTGGTCCTACTGAAAATGAAATTCGTTCAAGCTTTGAGGATTCAGCAGGAATTGTGAACCATGAACCAGGTGGAACAGCTATACCTCTGGGTCGAATGGTCGATTCTTGTGCATCATCTAATGGAGTTGGCGGAGGTGGTGGCTTCGCTGAGTTGATCGACTTGTCCGGACTTACGTCAGCTTTGTCCGGTCTGCATCTATGCCTCTCGGTACCAGCCTGCAAGGCCGTCATTCTAGAATTGCTCAGGTGCAAATCCTATGCGCGATTTGATTTAATTTTACAGCACATTTTGATTATTTTATAAACCTCTTCTTCCTATAAAATTAGTCTTCGGTTTTGAGGAATATATCATAGAAGTTGAATTGAATCAAATCTAACCATAATTAATTTTTTATTTTGTTTAAAAAATGTCCTGTTAGAATGTTGTATTTTAT